TCTGTGAAAAAAATTCAGGTGCTCAGGCATGAAAATATGCCGCTCAAACACTATACTTTTCTGCTCATACTGAAAAAAAATTAGAGGGAACATTGATAGGAGGACCAACATCAAAGGTAGATTTACACCATGCTCTTTCTCCCACTCCAGCAAAGAAATATCTTCTTATACTTGGTCTATACATCACAACATTATCTAAATAGAGCTGAACATTTGCTAAAATAGCCCTCCAGACCAGTAAGATTACAGATAGTGAGTGATGAGAATAAGGCCAAAACTAGAATTTTGGTCCCTAAGCAATGTGTCCCTTAATTATGTCATCATGTGACCAGAATTTATCATTTTTACCATAGTTGTTGTGAACCACATTTTCATTATGCAATCCAGCTTTCCCTACTGACTTTGCTTGCCAAAGGTCAGCTGGGAAGATTTCAACCCAGGATCACAAGGCCAAAGGATGCTGCAACCATTGTAAATACTAAGTCAGTTGCCAAACACCCGAATTGTGATCATATGACCATGAGGGTGGTACGATGGTTGCAACTTCAAGGACAGATGACAAGTCACTTTTTTCCACCAGTGTTGTAACCTCAAACCATGATTGAACAAATGGTTAAAACTTCAGGTCTACCTGTATAGCTGCATTCTGTGGTTATATTGAACAAATGCTCCTTGAAAAGAGAACTTTGAATTATGCCCCTCGATAGCAACACTACAGACTTACAGTTTACAACTGAGTTAATCCAGATCATTTGGAAGGTAGCTCTATGGAGAAAATCTTTCCTCGGGAATAAGAGGCTTGGCACACTAGTTTATAGCAAAAGTTGCATAGCTGGCTCTTGAGAAATGGCAAATTCTGGCTTCACATTCACAAAATGAAAGTGAACCTGTTGCTTGTTCACATGCCAAACTTATTTGATACCTCAGCAAAAAACATGCAGGATCTGCTGTGTGATGACTGTAATTACCTTGTCTGTACAATAACCTCAATTAAGACCTTAAGGTCTGAAGATGCACTAAAGGATGTACTCATTTGGAAAGGATCTTTTGTTTTGTTTTTAAATTGTAGTTTCCAAGCTATAAAGCAAAAACATGAAACAAAAACCATTTCTTATTCAGTTTGTTTGTTACAGTCACTAATGTTGCAGTATTAGTTTATCAATCCACATATGATCTCTATTGACAATACTGCCTGAACAATTAAGGCCATTCATTAGATGTTTGGCTGGTTACATTTTGCAGTCCGGTTTTATTTTATTACAGCTGGCCTTTTAAATTACCGTATTTTTCAGAGTATAAGACGCACCTTTCCCCCCCCAAAAAAGAGGGTGAAAATATGGGTGTGTCTCATACACTGAATACAGCATTTTTGGCCTCCTGAAACCCCGCCCCCTTTGCAAAAATGGATGTGGAGAGGGATTGGGAGGCCTGCAAAGGGGGCCTGGGGAGGGCAAAAACGAGGGGGAAACGGGCCATTTTTCGC